TAGTCTCTTTTCTTGTTTATTTTCTCATTCTTCTTGTTTCTTTTGCTGCCATCAAATCTGCTAAGTCGTAGTTGGATTTGGCACTTCTCGTTTCCATCTTTTTTTCTTTTCCGTCTCACTCTCTGACACCAATTTGTTAAGTCTCTGTGTTTGTTTGTTAATTTTCCGTAGAAATTCTTTCTAAAAATACAAGTCCTTTCTTAAATAAAACTAGTTTATTCTTTCTCAATATAACTTTGCATTACACTTCATTTCCACAGTCACTTTAACTTAAACACTATAATTCACAATAAACGATTCACGCACTTTACCTACTACCACGCTTGACTCAATTGTCTGTCTCTATCTCTGTCTGCAATTCAATTCCCCATTAATTTTGCTTTATCTGGCACACTTATATACAACAATAGAGGGTGCCTAGCAAATACTGGATTATTCATGATGTTCCCCGATCATTCAAGATAATCATGACGTGTTACTAGCGTCACGTGATTTCCGCAGTCGAAACAATAAATTCATTTTGATACCTAGAGAAATAAATCTCAAACATTAACAAAGGAAGTGATTTCAGAATACCTGTAAAACATTAACAAATGAATTTATTTCACACTAGCAGGAGTTGTGTAAATTCATGATTAATGAGAGGTTATCTTAGAACATGAAAAGTTGCTTCCTTTATAGGTAATTGTAAAAAATGCAAAATCACCCATAGAAATGCAAAACCGAAAATAAATATGTACCCCTGCATGGACCTAATGAACCTCCATATCAATTTTGGTGAAGATCCATCCACACCCTGCAAGGTAGTTACATGGACAGACAACAAGCAGTAGTATCATATTTATAGATTCCTGTAAAACTCTGACCTTGGAATTGACTTCAGAATCCATGTACTACCACAGACTTGTCACTAAAAGAACAAGAAATATATTTTTCGGGCTGGTTCTGGTAAAAGGGGTTAGTCCTTTTGGGGGTATAATTTCCCTAAATGAAAATGTATTTCTGATAAGTACTTCCCTCCCATCACAAGATTAACTTTTCTCATTTTGTGCTGCCCTCTGTATGCGAACATTTTCAGAAATGCATGCCACAAGCCTTCATCCTTGTTCTGTTGGAATCCACAATTCCAACACGTCTCTCATGCAAATCATCATGCATCACCTTTCTACCAATAGGAAAGTACTATCACTTTAAAGTTTAGCTGAAGATGCAAGCAATGGAAGATTGTGAGGAGGATGGGTGGGAAGTGTGAGAGGAGGGAAGACCCTATCAGAAATACATTTTCATTTAGGAAAATTATAACTTCTGATAAGGTATGCTCCCTCTGCTTACAGGATTAGCTTGAATCCCACATTGAAATGGAGGAGGGACTGGTATGAGGGACGTACAGGCGTATCCCTGGAAGTGTCCAGAGACACCCTTGAAATGAGATGAACAGATCAGAAAATCTGAGGAGAGGTACCGCACCACACCTGAGCCAGGTATCTCTTTGCCAGGAACCTCAATATTATTAGGAGAACCACATATGGTGGAAAATTAAAGGAAGCACATCCGCATGGGAGAGAATAGTCTAGAATTGTGATCTTGAACAGAAATCAGAATCACTCAATCCCACAATGGAAAGTGGGCAAATGAGGATGTGTCCCATGATGTGAATGGCTAGGCACTACAAACTGTACTTGGTAAGTCAACAACATCCAAAACCACACTTGCTAGGTACCAACATCCTCGCGAGGGTAGAATGAGGATCGTAATACCATCTTCACCTCAAGTCCCAGAGTCAAGAGCGAACCTAACAGATGACTCCAGGAACTCATAGGATAGCCTAATGCCAGGGATCTGGGAATGTGTCATCCGAGAGAAGTCCATCACATGCACCCAAACCCCGTGACTGTGAAACCAGCCCAAAATTGCCCCAGGTCAGTAAAAACCTCGTCACCAAGAGGGAAAACCCAGGACAGAAGTGGAAACAGGTCACATAGACTTTCTGTGATCCACAACACAGAAGACAAGTCTAGAGGAAAGATGGACAATCCAAAACCTGTGTGAGGACTTATTAGATTGGTTCACTCAATCTC